GAGAGTGGGAGAGAGAGAGCAGCGAGAGTGAGAGAGAGAGCAGCGAGAGTGAGAGAGAGAGAGCAGAGAGAGTGGGAGAGAGAGAGCAGAGAGAGTGGGAGAGAGAGAGCAGCGAGAGTGGGAGAGAGAGAGCAGCGAGAGTGAGAGAGAGAGAGCAGCGAGAGTGAGAGAGAGAGAGCAGCGAGAGCTGGAGAGAGAGAKCAGCGAGACTAAGGGAGCGAGAACAGCGTGACTAAGGGAGCGAGAACAGCGTGAGTAAGGRAGCGAGAACAACGGAAGGTAGAGAAAGAGAAAGAAACTTGCTGTGGTGGCCTAGTAGCTGTCCCCGGATGACTGCTAAAAACTCACCAWTGCGTGGGGTGGCTGATGATTGTTGAAAACCCCTAGTGCGTGAATCGGTTGAATTGTTAATTAATCACTGAAACGTACTAACGCGTGATACCAATTGTCTGTTGGAACTCCTTGCTGATCGAAGCTGCTAAATTACAAAAAGGAAGAAAGAGAAAATAGGGAGCGTGACAGGGCACCCCCGACTTCGGTGCCTGCCGGTCGCTGAGGACCTCGGAACGGGCGCGGCGAGTGACAGGCGCCGCAGCCCTTGGCTTCAGCGAACGGTAGGCGCCCCTCCCCGGGTTTCCTCACACCGGGGCCCAGAGGCTGAAGCCAACTCGATATAGTTGGGCCCCGGGGCAATGCAGTTGCGCCTCCTTCATCAAGGCCTGCGGCCAGATTCAGACAGTGGGCCGATTTCCCTTTGGCATTTTCGGCCTCTCTACCCAGCATGCATTGTCGGCCTCACGTTCGAGTGCCCAGGGCCTAACTAACTCAGAGGCCCTGGGCATTTCAGCATTTGCTGAAATCCGAGACTCGGTGCACTCCAACCAACCGGCGTGCTGCAACTGTATAGACCCCACTTCGTGAAATGTTGGCACAGAGGGCTCTTGTTGATTTGCTGGCCCGCCTTCACTTAGGGCGGGCACTAGGCTTGCTGGGGCCTTAGCCCAGAACATGTACATCATGGCAAGGCCCCTACTTGAGGGCTCAATCCTCACACTTGCCTTTCTTGGGACACTGTTGCAAAAATGGACTTTGGGACTGGACTTTTCTTGTCGGGGCCAGGCACGACTTCTAACGAACTACTCTTCGGTACTGGCGCGACTCCTACCTACAACACTTCGGCCTACGACCTATTAGACCCTACAGACCCTGGCCTCGGACTCAGTCTGCCAGGACCTAGTAGGACGGGGCCCATCTGGGACTGGGATCAACTGGGGCTTTGGGACTGATACTCGGGCTGTTTGCAGAGTTAAATCCTTCGATAAGAATACCTCTCCGGCACATCAATCCCCCTTCTTGCCCTCTCATAGTAGGAAACTTTCACTCCCGCCGACCTAATTTCGAGGTCCTCCTTTAAAAATGCGAACTAGACCTGTCTACTACATCAATCCCCCTTCTTGCCCTCTCATAGTAGGAAACTATGTTCGGAGCGGTTTCTCTATGTCCGTCGCTAGTGAACCAGCGATCATCTTCAGGTTCTTGGTAAGCGAATCGAACTTTGTACTGTCGCTGGGGTCTTCCCCTCCTTCCTGATCTTTAGGTGTCTTCCTCAAGAATCCTGTCAATGTCGTACTCACCATCCATATCAGGTGGAATCATAGATCTGCGTGAAGGAAAGTGGTTGTTCACTACATAGGGAAGCAACTTAGAGGCGTGAAACATGGGGTGAGTGTGCAGATGAATCAGTATATCGATAGTATAGGAGGGACCATCTGCCTCACTAACAACATCAAGAGTTTCTCATGGTCCTCTGTACGCCTGTAACGGCTTCTGTGATATCCCTTCTTCGGGAAGGAACTCTTTAGATTTGACCCAGACCAAATCGCCTGCAACGAACTGCGACAGCCTATGGTGCTTATTGGCCTGCTCTACCATTTGGGTCTGGGCCTTTCGGATGTTTTTAGTTACGCGTTGTAAGTTGTTCTCATTTTGAATACCAAAACTCCCTTGTACCGGGTGGTAATCTCTATATCTGGTCGGTTGTACACAGTTGAAACGGTATTCACCAGTTCGCAGTAGCTGATGCAGATCCCAGGGCTCGATCCCTAGTTCCCCATCTTACCTGTGTACAGTA